CAGCACAAGTAGGCTAGGCAGGAGTTCTTGAACAATATATTGTTCTGATCTTTGGAAGATGAATAAAGACGGAGAAAAGCGTCATATTCTGTCTTACATGTCAATTGTAAGAGACTTCAATACTTTGATTACATGTAGAAACTCAACTTATGATGCCACTTTATGAAACTTCCCCCTTTCTTGAAAGAGAGAATAGCAAAATGCCGTTGTCTTGCTCCAAGCTTTAACAAATGAAAAGCGTGTTTGAAGCTGGAGCAATGATGCTGCTGCACTAAGGATGTAGGCTGTGCTTTCGATTGCAAAGGCGACTCCTTTTCACCTCTTGTTTGCAAGCAGCTGCCAAATTGGCTTGGGGATGAATGGTAGAACTAAGTAGCTTTAGCCAGGACAAAGATTGCATCTACCCATGCAGTTATGGTTGAGAGCATATCTATGTTTATTTACGAGGGGCACAAGTGCATGGCAGTACTTTTGTAACAACACAAAGATACAAGGACTGAAAATTTTGCTATCAAGAGGTTCCATGAAGAAACAAAACCATCCCAGGTGAACTAGCGAGGCCTGCAAAATTTAAGGAGACTATCTTCACAATGTTGGGTTTTCCCCAAAAAATCCAAAATCCAATACAAAACCTTGCCTGCAATTCTTACGGCCCCAATGCCTCATCACTGGTCTAATGGCTTCTAGTACCCACATCAGAAAAACGAGTTTGCGCTTGCAGGGCCTGAATTGACATATATATGAAAGACAAACCAGCTTCGATTAAGTATCAGATATGATGTCACCGTCCCTTGCATTTCCACTACCAGTGAGTGAGAAAGCACTTTTTAACTGTATAATTATTTGCCTGAACACCTAGGTTTAATGTGTAACATCTGCATCAAGATATAGCTTGCCCAGAAATAACAATCCTATCCAGGCCAAGCTGGACCAACACAAAGATCAAAGAGAATTCAAGAAGCTACATTCAAGCTCGTCCCAGAAATCTTCTCTCTACCCTTTCAGCCACCTCCACCTTCCCATGAATCCGACAAGCTACCAACAAAGCATTCCACAAAGCCTCATCTTTCTCCAACTCCATCCCCATCACCAACTCCTCTGCTTCCTCCACCAATCCCGCCTTCCCCAACATATCCACCATACATGTATAATGCTCCAAGCCAGGCTTCACTCCAAACCTGCCCTCCATCATCTCAAAAACCTCCTTCCCTCTTTCCACCATCCCCTCACGACTACACGTAGTCAAAACCGTAGTCAAAGTCACCGCATCAACCTCCATTCCCATCTCCACCATTTTTTCAAACAAAGCAAACACGTCCCACGCCATCCCGAGCTTCTCATACCCCGTCATCAAAGCCGACCACGACACGTAAGTTTTCACTGGCATTTCATCAAACACTTTCCTCGCGCAGTCCAGCTCACCACATTTCCCGTACATACTAATCAAAGAATTGCTATTCGCCAAATCCGACGAATACCCATGAACCAAAACAGCTCCATGGAGCTGTCTTCCAAGCGTAACATGAGATAACTGACCGCAACATTTAAGAACGAGAGGCAAGGTGAAACCGTCAAAGGGCTTTTGAGCAATGATCATGTGGTGAAAAATGGAGAGGGATTGAGAGAATTGGTTAAGAGAAGTGTAGGCTCTGATGATGGAGTTGTAGAGGAAAGTGGGTTGGCGAGAAGTGAAGAAGAAGAGGACATGGGCCTCCCGCATTTGTGAACATGAGGCGTAGGCAGAGAGAAGTTTGGTCCGGATAAAGGAGTGGCTTGAAATGTTAAGGTGGATGGTCCTTGCATGGATTTGTTTGAGTTTTTGGAGGGATTTGATTGAGGAGCATTGATCTAGGAGGGATGCGAAGAAGGGTATGGTTTTGGCAGGAGCCTGCATTAGCGGACGAGATGCGAGGTAGTATTGTTTAGGGACAATAGCAATTGAGCATAATGAATGAGCGGCACAAAAGTACCAAAAAGGACTGCTCACACTCACACCCTTTGCTCAATTTTATGAAAAGAATATATCCATATGTGATAACTTAAATCAAAGATTCATGGCTAAAATATACTGCCACCTATTTTGATATAAGTATAATTATGCGCCAGTTTATTAATTTTTTAAAAAAACACTGTTTAAAAAAATATTTTTTATTAACATATAAAGAGGTGTTTGTTATGGCGTAAGGGAAAGATATTCCTTACATTTTACAATCACTTAATAACATTTAGTTGGCCAAAAAAGAATATAATGTGTTTACAATTGTAATCACGTTACAACTAAAAAAAGAAATGACATTCCCAGTCTCCCATGTAGGGAAAGTTACATATCTTCTTTTTTCAAAATTGACCTTTTCTTCTTCTTTCTACCTTCTTCACTTTATTCCTTCCTACTTTTGTCTTGTTCTTCCTTCCTTTTTCTCCTTCTTCTCACCTTGCCTTCTTCTCTTTCTTCTTACTATCCACATAAAGGATAGCCCGTCACCAACACATTTGGGTCAAATTTTACCACCAAATCTAAAAATTAGAGAGATTGAAACTTTGAATTTTATAAAACCTTAATTTATATTTTTAAAAAATTTGAAAGTGTTTTGAGAAAAATTTATACTTTTGGTGTCAAAAATTGAGAGAGAGAAACATTTACATGGTTTAAAATCGAAAAAATTTACTAAAGAATTAAGAGGATTTGAGAGGGAAAGATGTTTTCTACAAGCGTAAGGAATGCTTAAAATTGAATATTATTACGTTCAAACTTTTGACCGTTACTATTTATCTATCGATAGATTTGTCTTTGGATAATGTTTTTTATTTTTTATTTATAAGTTTAAGGTGAAAATAAATATTTAGTAATTTTATATATTTTAATATCTAAATAATTAATAAAAAAATATTGTGTTATTGTTTAATGTTATTATTTATTATTGTAATTTCTTAAAATTGAAATGTAAAATTTTATATTAAAAATTATAAATTTATTCAACTTATATGTTTTTTATACTTAAGAGTAATTTTATCAATTTATATTACATTCTCAGTAAAATGTTTACGAATCAAATATTACAATGTAATTTTCTCAGCAATCACATTTTCTACAATCATCACTTTCTCTATTACACGAAACGCTGTAAGGTTCTATTCTCAATAATTACATTCCCAGCAATCATATACTCAATAACCACATTCTCAGTAATCACATTCCCAACAATATACCAAACGCAAACTAAGTTTTTTTTTAATCAACCGTTAATATTTTTCATTAGTTTAATAATGTATTAATATTTTTATTATAATTTATAATTTTTTATTTTTAAATTTTTAATTTTTTCTCTCTCTAAATAAAAAAAAAAAACCTCTCTAGTGCTCTTCAAGGGAACATTGATCTAGTGCTCTTTTGGAGAGATTCAATTAGATCTAACATTTTATGGTTAGATTTGATTGTATGGTGGAAGCACTACTAGCTCTCTTAAGACAAAGGAAAAAAGGGACTAAAAGAAAAAAATATAGTTTAAACATATTACATTTAAACATTAATACCATTCACATGTTTCGAATGATGTATTTATTTTAAAAATTAATAAATTTGTATATTATTATAATTAAAAGCTAAAAATTAATTTATTTTACCCAAAATTCAATGTACGTGTTTCTTGAAATTCAAGGGAAAAAGGTGCACAATTTTATCCAATCCTCGTAGTAGTTACGTATGAATCAACTAACCATTTATATGTCTTCTTTGATTACATGTATATGAGACTCGACCCGAGTTTCAAAATCATGGCCTTAGGCTGTCACCCGGCCCAGTCATGTACAGCTCCGCAGCAGCCATGTCATTTTAACCAGCAATACATACAAATTATTTGTGGACATGGACACTTTCTTCTTGTGCTGATCTGATCTTGCCTGACATGAAGGGAATAATTTTCGCCAGGGGCTCATCCTAGCATCAGCACTGTCAAGTCTTTGATTTCCATCAGGGGAAATATAGATTTGGCAAATGAAGCTCAGGGTTAGTTATGGCAGTACAGATCTGCCGGCACCCACCCAATGTCACCTTCCATTGATTCTCTTCCAATCCACAATTGTGGTACGACTACAAATGGTCATGCTTGACCGTGACACTGCCGCACTGCAACTCTGATTCAGCCGCCCCCCCAACAATCACTTCTCTCTCTCTCTCTCTTTCATGTCACCATTTACCCACACAACTTCTCAGCTAGTTTTTCTTCTGGTAAAAATCTTTTCAAGGGTCATTAATTTTCTTACAGCAATTTTGTCCTTCATTTCTTTTTCTACCCTCCCAATAGAAATTTAGAATCAATTATCAAATTCAATATCTTGGTCTTTTCATTTTTTGTATCCCCAATGAAACTTCCATTGAAAGGAACAAAAAATTCAAGAGCCAATGGGGGGAACA